GTAGGTCTGACGGTCTTGTCTCTCTTTGGGATTCAACTCTTTTCATCAAGTTAAATTCTTTTATGGACATAAATTATTTGATTGTTATTGGTTCTTGGTGTCCTAGCGGGGTCATGTTAGGTATCTGCAACGTTTATGCTCCTCAAGATGCTAGCGATAAAGCTTAGTTGTGGTATGCTCTTACGGAGCTTTTGGAGTCTATCGATGTCGATGCTTGAATTTGCTGCGGTGATTTTAATGTTGTTAGATGTCAGGAAGAAAGGGTTGGGTCCAAGTTTGCTGTTGGGAGTGCCTTGGTCTTCAATAATTTTATTTATGAGAACGGGTTTTTGGACCTCAAAATGGGTGGTTGGAAGTTCACGAGGAAAAGTGCGGACGGTTTTAAATGGAGTAAGTTTGATCGATTCTTGGTGTCTTATAGTTTTCTCTCCTTGTGGCCTAAGGCTTGTGTGACCGCGCTGCCGTTTTTATACTCAGATTACTGCCCTATTCTTCTGGATGGTTGTGACGTAAACTTTGGGCCGATCCCATTTAAACTTTTTAATTCTTGGCTTAGTGATCTTGATTTTGTGCAGATGGTGAAGGAGGGCTGGATTAAAAATCACAATGGTTACTCGAATTCAAGTAACATTCGGCTTCTTTTATCAAATTTAAAGCGGATGAAGGTGAAGATTAAAGCTTGGAGGATTTCAAAATTGGCCTCAACCAGAGCCGAGAAGGCTTCTCTCACTGCTAAGGTCAACGATTTAGATTCGATTGCGGCTGCTAGTAACCTTAGTGTTGTTGACGCGCAGACCAGAGTAGATACAATGAAGCGTATTCTGGAGATTGATGAAGCGATCGTTAGTGATCTCAGACAAAAGGCCAAAGCTAGGTGGACTCTCGAAGGAGATGAAAATTCTCTTTTATTTCATGGTCTTCTTAGATGCAGACTTAGCAAGTTAAATATTCATGGTATAGGTGTAAATGGTAGATGGATTCGAGACCCTTTAGAGCTGAAAAAAACAGCTTTTGATTTCTTCAAAGAGAAATTTTCGGAAGATAAGGTGTGTAGGCCGTCTTTCAAGAGCAACCATTTCAAAAGACTCTCATTAAGTCAAAAGGAGATGCTCGAGCTGCCCTTCACTATTGAGGAAGTTAAAAACGCTGTTTGGGGATGCGGTAATGAGAAAGCACCGGGGCCTGATGGTTATTCCTTTGCTTTCTTTAAAAAGTTTTGGGATGTCATTGGTGATGATGTTTTCAAAGCGGTCAAATCCTTCGAGGCCAACACAAAAATTGGTAGGGGATGCAATGCTTCTTTCATTACTCTAGTTCCAAAGGTAAAGGGCCCTTTGTATTTCAAAGACTACAGGCCGATTAATCTTATTGGTTGTGTTTGTAAAGTTGTCTCCAAGGTGCTGGGGGATAGATTAAAGGGGTGTTGGATACGATTATCGGGAATGAGCAATCGGCTTTTATTAAGGGTCGATGCATTCTGGATGGCCCGCTAATCGTTAATGAGACTATCTCTTGGGCTAGGAAGGTGATAAGTATCAATTTATTTGATACTTTTACACTTTTTCTTCACTTTATTTACCCATTTTATTTTCCCAAAATTCCACAAATTAAGTCTTTTTTGTTTTGTTTTTCTATCTTTTTATATTGGAGCTAAATTGATGTGATAAACATGTTTACTTCTTGGATATGTGCTGATTTTTGGAAAAATAGCCATATTGTTAGGTATTTGGCTGAAGCATGCTACAACATGTGCTGCAGAACGATCCAGAGGCATTTTTGAGAATAGTACAAGAATTTTTTGAGATCAAATCCCCTCTTTTTGGCAACCCATCTCCTGCAGATTTTAAGATCTCATAGTACAAATCTAAGATATGATTTTTAGTATTATCTAGGTGGTTTGGCTTTGCCCATTGGATTGTAAAAAGTTGGGTAAAGCTTTTACCCATTGGATTGTGTAAAAAGTTGGATAAAGCTTTTAACCGTTGGTTTTTACCCTCTCTTCCTCCACCATATAAAGGGGGAGGCTTGGCTTTGTAGGGAAGCAATTTGGTATGCAAACAATCCTAGAAAACTCTTGAAGTAGTTGAAGGTTCTTTTATATAAAGTTGTAGTAATAAGTACTTTTATTTTTCTCCTTTATAATTCCTTTCTTTACTTTTATTTCTCTTGTCATCTTTTATTCTCTTAATGCTCTACTTATTATGTTTTATTATTATTCATGCAATTAAATTTTCTAGTTTAAGTTTTGTTAGACATTTTTATAATTACACTTGGCATTTATTTCTTCTACGTTATTTTCTTTTCTTTTTGCATTATTATTTATGCAATTAATTTTTCAAGTATGTTAGGCTAAAAATATAGCTTGGGTATTGGGTGAAGTTAAGATAAAAATCGATTTCGTTTGTAGAAATATAAATTATAAATCTTTACAACTACGTCATTCAAGTTTTAATTGCAAAAATATCATCCATGGACAAGTTGATCACTTGTTTAAAAGTGTTAAAGTGTGTTGGATTTAGAGATAAACCAACAAGCACACGTCAACTTGAATGATATGGAAGTAGACTCGAGAGAGTTACTTAGAATCGAGGAGACTCGTTTTCGCTCCATTTAGCTTATAAAAGGAATAGTTTGAGCCAATGTCGGGACTCCAGCCTTGCATAGAGATATGAGGGTTGGATCTATGACTGTGTGCCATTCTACATCTCGAGAGAGTATCTTAAAGAAGCTATTAGTTGTAAAGATAAGTCATTTATAAAGCATGCTATGGAACCATGTTGTAGCATGCTGTCTACTTTTAAATCGGTTTAATATCTTAACGAATACCTACACCCTAAGCTCCCTTTTATAACTTGTTCACAACAGTAGTGTTTAATCAACTCACCAAAAATATTTCCTCGAATTCACCATCTGAAATCATATCTTTATTTATATTATTAAAACGAACTTTTATTCCTTTTTCTCCGTGGACGATATTTGGTATTTTTACCACTTTATTACTTGTAAAAGACGATAGTGGATTGATGAGTGTATACTTGCACTAGTTTCCATTTGTTAGCAGTCTGAGAGATTTATTTTATATAATTCTCGTAACAGAAGGCAAATCGTAAAGTGTCAATTTTTAAAGTTGATTTTGAGAAGGCTTTTGATAACTTGAACTGGGACTTTTTAGACGAGGTTATGTGTCAAATGGGATTCAGTAATACCTGGAGAAAGTGGACTCGAGGAATTCTCTCTAATGTAAGTGTCTCTATTCTTGTGAATCGAAGCCCAACTGAGGAGTTTATCATGGAAAAAGGTGTGCGGCAAGGTGACTCTCTTGCCCCTTTTCTTTTTATTATAGCTATGGAGGCTCTTAGGGTGGTTATGTATGAAGCTCGTATTAAAGGGGTTTTTAACGGGTTGTCTCTTCCCAGAGGTGGCCCTAGAATAGAGATTCTTCAATATGCTGACGATGCTCTATTTATGGGTGACTGGTCGTTAACGAATGGTCTAAATTTGATCCGTTTGCTCAGATGTTTTTATCTTTCATCGGGGTTGAAAATCAACTTGCAGAAAAGTTGTTTGTACGGCATTGGGTTGGGCACCGGTGAAGCTGAACTGCTCGCTCAAAGAATGAATTGTAAGCTTTCTTCTATTCCGTTCCAATACTTGGGTCTTCCGGTAGGTGCGCAGATGGGAAGGAGAAGTAGTTGGAATAAGTTAGTAGATAAATTCCAAGAGAAACTCTCCACTTGGAAGGCCAAGTCTTAATCGTTTGGTGGTAGGAAGATACTGTGTAAATCGATTCTTAGTAGTTTGGGAGTTTATCTTTTCTCTCTGTTTGAAGTCCTAGAAAATGTGCTTAACA